CCCTCCGTCTCCCCCTCCCCCTCCCCCTCCCTCTCCTTGCATTCTTCGGTTTCTCCCTCCATTCCTGCTGTCGTCCATTCATCTATCCTTAGCCATCCCTGTCTGAAAAATTGCTTGCTTCGCTGCTAGCTTCTCTTCCATAGACGCTGTAGAAGAGAACGTGCCGCCACGTGTCCCATATTGGGCGTAATCTGAATTTTGATTGATTGATTGATCCGCTAAAGAGGGGTTCGAATCTCGTCTTGGTTGGATTCTCTTTCTCTCACCCATCATCTCTCTCCCCACCCATCTTCCTCCTGACGACATTGCCCTCTCTCTCTCTCTCTCTCTCTCTCTCTCTCTCTCTCTCTCTCTCTCTCTCTCTCTGTGTCTCCCACCTCTGTGTCTCCCAACCTATCATCATCATTCATCATCACCATTATCGGAACTTTCACTGTGCAGGCGACGAAGGTTCCCTGCAGCCATCGCTGGAGCTGGTATCGTGCGTGTGTGCTTTGCGATCTGTCCTCTCTCGCTCCTCATACATTGTGGTGTCTATCTGTGTATAGATATATACATCCATACATAGATGTATACATACATGCATAGATATGTACATGTATCGGCAAACAATGCTGCCCAGTAAACCGTAGGCAGAGAGGGAGAAGAGGACGTATATATATATGTGTATAAAACTCCGACGAAACAGTTTGTCACAGCCCCTCGTTTGTTGTCCTCTTCTCTCTCTCTGCCTACGGTTTACCGGGCAGTTCTGTTTGTGACGATATATATATGTATATGCACAATTTTGTGCCTGGCACACGTGTAAATATTGCCTCGTGTCAGCTCATTGTGCCCTGCAACTGTGCCTGAGTATCGGGATCCCTAGCGTGTCGCCCCCTCGTGCATTGTGTATAGATCTGTATGTATATATATACCAGAGCTGACTACTCGTGACTACTCGTCGTTCCTGTGATTTCCACGTGCCTCCGGTCACCTTTTTTTTTTTTTTTTGACATAACTGGGTTCGAAGTCGATTTTTTTTCTTTTTCTGCCTTCGCCGCTTTTCAAGCGGTCTCGGAGGTCGACCCTTTTTTTTTTTTTTCCCCTTCTTTTTGCAAATTCGAATTATCACTCATCTTTTTTTCTCCTCATCACCATCTTCTCGCTGAGCGGATGCGATCATTGCGATCAGCATTGCGTCCGCTCACAATCAACGGTGTTCATTATCAGCTTATCAACCCAGCCAGCTGTAGTTATCGTTTTCCCCCTACCCCTCCCTTCCCCCCTGTCCGCCTCCC